CAACAAACAATTTACAATACTTGCTAATACAGTAAAAACACTTTACAATACTTGTTAAAGCAATAACAACGCTTTACTACTTGTTAACACAATTAAACTTATAGCTTGCTTATTCGCAACTCAATTCTCCGCTCACTTTACTTGTAGCTTGCTGTCTTGTAACTCCGTAACTTTACTGGTAGCTTGCTGACTTGCAACTCGTAACTGTCCCTACTCCGCTGTGTCGTGGCTCTTATATACCTGCGCTCACACTTATGGCAACTCTAGAACGTTCTGAAGTTTATCGCTCATTCTCTTTCTCTCGCTGTTCGCAGTGTTCATCCAACTTGGCGTTTCTCTTTGTGGAACATTCTACGTCATTCTTCGAACATTCTGCCTATTTCTCGTTGTTCGCTTTGTGTTGCCGCAGTATTCGCCACAATACAAAGAGTCAAATGAGTTAGTTGAATGAGCTGACTCTTTAAAGTGAGTTGGAGTCATTGAGTCAACTCCTATAAATTTGTTGAGTTACCCACCCTTATAGTGATTGTCCTCATACAAATACTCCGGTAACCACGACTATTAATAAAATCGATCAAAATGATACACATAGAAACGTTACACAAGAGATTAAAATAAACAATATATTAACAAAATCCTTCGTAGACTCAGGAAGTGCATGCAGACTTATCCGGAAAACGTTCGCAAGACAAGTTGGTAATGAAGTGGGCTGCGCGGTGGAATTAAACGGATTTGCGGGCGGCAAATACACATGCATATCGAAACGGACATTAAGAAGAGGCTAATTTGCTGGTGGTGGATGATGATAAACTTACCGGAAACACTTTGCTAGGTAGGGCATCTATGTCGAGGTGGCAAACGCTTGGTCATTGAGGGCGATAAATGCCATATCGAAGATAAGTCCACCCTGGCAAACACAACATCTTCGACGTACAAATACATAGAAGAATTGTTAGAAACACACCGGCAGGTATTCACTGAAAATACTTCCGAGCTAGGGAGATGTGGGGTCAACAAAATGCGAATTCAACTAACTACTGATGCTCCTATTCGCATGAAACCGTATAGAATAGCTTTTGCAAAACGTCAAATCGTGTCCAATATTATAGCGGATCTTCTGAAAAACGATATAATCCGCCGTTCCTTATGGCTTACCCGCCCTATTGGTGGAAAAATCTAGTGGAGAGCACCGCCTCTGTATCGACTACCGTAGTGTAAACAAAATTACTGTTAAAAATCCATTTCCTATGTTGATTATGGAGGAACAGTTTGCCCAGCTTGCAGGAAATAAGTATTTCACCTCTTTGGACCTACGAATGGGGTACCATCAAACTGAAGTTGAGGAAGAATCGAAGAGATATACTGCATTCGTCACGACGGATGGCCACTTCGAATATAACCGAATGCTTTTCGGGTTGGTCAACGAAGCTGCCGTATTTCAAGAGGTTATGAACAAGATTGCATCAAAGATGAATCCAGGCGAAGTCTTGGTATATCTCGACGATATAATAATACCGAGTAAGACTGTGGAAGAAGGAGTAGAGCGACTCGATAAATTTTTACGTTATAGTTCTTGGCACTGAACTGGTATATCTTGGCCATGTTATAAATGAACATGGCATCGCACTGGGAGACCGGAAGGTTTCTGCTATAAGAAATTTTCCTACACCCACATCCGTCACAGAGGTACGCCGCTTTCTAGGATTGACTGGGTTTTTCCGTAAATTTGTGCAATACTACTCACTTATCTCCAAACCAATAACATCTTTACTGCGAAAAGAAGAAATAAAGTTCACTTGGGATCCAGAGCAGGATAAATCTTTTGAAAAGCTAAAAGATATTCTCTGCAAGGGACCTGTATTGGCATTGTATGATCGCTCCGCTGACCATGAGGTACTTACCGACGCGAGCAGTGTTGGGCTGGCCGGAGTATTGTTGCAATCCGTCGACGGGAAAACTTGGCAGGCAGTGTTCTACTACAGTCGTCATTGTACAGAGGCAGAAAGAAATTACCACAGTTATGAGCTCGAAACCTTGGCCGCGGTTGAAACACTAGAACGTTTCCGAATTTATCTGCTGGGAAAGCATTTCCGTCTAATAACCGACTGTTCTGCGATCGCACGTGTAAAGGAAAACAAAGAATTAAAATCGAAAATTGCTAGATGGTGGTTAAAACTGCTCGAATATGATTTCGATACTGTGCATCGTCAAGGGAGTCGGCTTGCTCACGTCGATGCCTTGAGTCGATCCCCAAACGATGGTTATT